TTTACAACTACTCATTTCAGTAGTGTTCTTAGCTGCGAGGATCTCCTAATTTCAAGTTCTCAATTATTAACAAATTCTCCTTGTCAGCACCTCAGGAAATGTATATAGAGATTAGCATGGAGAATATATATATTGATGTTGGAGAATATATATATTGATGGTTAATGAATCTAAATAATATTGAAAAGGTGAAAACTTCATTCAGTACCCCCTGGGTTTGGGTCTTGGGTGGATAATAGGGTTGAATTCTTGTGCAAGACACATAGCTGTTGCAGTGCCTCTTTTCATCCAGGAATTTAAAACCAGCATCTGTCACCTGTCAGGGGAACTTGGTGAATTGCCGGGAGATAATCTACTGTAAACTAGGATCCCTCTGATGGGAAGAAAAATGCCTCTGGTTTTATTACTTTTGGATGATATTGCAGACAAATTGAGATTTGCTCAAGCAGTGTGGCTATCTTATGTTACTCACTCCAACAAAGCTGCAAATTTGTGGAGTTATAATTGATAAATATTAAAAGTATTAATTGGAGCATCTTTGATTCCAGGTGATATCTGGGAAGCTGAAGGACCATTTTCCCTTAGTTGTTTGGCAGACAGGTTCTGGGACACAGTCCAACATGAATGTTAATGAAGTGATCAGTAATCGTGCCATTGAGCTGATGGGTGGCGAGATGGGATCAAAAAAACCTGTCCATCCTAATGATCATGTCAACAAAAGCCAGGTCAGAGGCTTATTTTAGCTTGCTTAATATTAGGGTAGGGAAAAGGAGAGAATCCTCATATAGAATGATGTCAAAGTGCAAAGTTTTCACAAATCATGAGGGGCTACACATCTTTCTCAATGATGTGATTCATCTGGTGGCTTACCCTTCAGAATGTTCCGGTGATTTCAATTAACTTTGCAATGGGAGGGGGGAGGGTGGGGAGGAGAGAAGAGAGAAAGGCAGGGATCCGGGTGGCCATATGATCGTTGACTGTGTTGTGTCTCCATATTTTTTTCATGATCACTGTAACCAATAAAAATAGCTCCTTTATGTTTTAATAACAATATTTTTCTCTCTGAGTACAGAGCTCTAATGACACATTTCCAACGGCAATGCATATAGCAGCAGCAATGGAGGTGCATGAACGTCTCTTACCAGGACTAAGAAAGCTTCATGGTGCACTTCAGGCTAAGAGCACAGATTTCAAGGATCTTGTTAAGATTGGTAGAACACATACACAGGTGAATTGTCTGATCGTGTGTCTTAACAGACCGCAATTGTGTCACATGCTAATTACCTTTTACAGCTCAGTGGATCCTCAGGAGTTTGATGCTTTCTCTCTCTTTGTTTTCCTCTGTTAACCCCCTTCACTCCCAAGATCTGATTACTAATTCTCCCCTCCAGCTGCTACACATTTCTCTGTAAACTATTTACAAGAATTTGGTGTAAGATCAAAGCAATGAATTCTACCTGATAAGTTTGAGTATCATCATAACTTTTTTTCTGAACAATTTACAGATATTGGAGGAAGAAGCTACGTGTTAATCACTTTTAAAAATCATGAACATTATCAACTTCTCATGAAAAGAATCCCAATGAAATTTATCCCATAGCCCTGGTCAATATACAGTGAGTTGCATAGCATATGAACAATGCGTTGATTATCAGTGGAGGATTTGATTAATCATCACCTTTTACATGTTTTCATTTTTACAGGATGCCACGCCCATAACTTTAGGCCAAGAATTCAGCGGTTATGTTAAACAGATAGAGTATGGTATTGCAAGGGTGGAGGGCACCCTTACAAGAGTATATGAGCTGGCTATTGGTGGAACGGCTGTGGGCACAGGACTGAACACAAGAATAGGATTTTCTGAAAAGATGTCAGCTAAGATTGCAGAGTACACTAAGCTACCATTCACAAGGTGTGAATTAGACAGTTGATTTGGAATAAATATATTACTCTAAGTACTGTTCTATGATATATTATTTGGCATGTTGCTTCTTGTAGTTATGAATTTTTTAAATTTATTTTATTGCTTTGCACCTTATTTTTAGGAGATGATGTAATTTCAGGACAAACAATGTTAATTAGTGGGCCATCATTTTTTGCAAAACCAGTTTTTTCTTTACTTTACTTTAATCTTGAACACCAACAAGACTTTATGCGATTATTTAAATTATTATCTTCTTTGTTTCCTTTAGTGCACCAAACAAATTTGAAGCCCTTGCAGCTCATGATGCCATGGTAGAGCTTCATGGAGCACTCAATGTGATCGCTTGTAGTTTGATGAAGATTGCAAATGATATCAGGTTTTTAGGCTCAGGTCCTCGCTGTGGATTGGGTGAGCTGACGCTTCCTGAGAATGAACCTGGGAGCAGTATCATGCCAGGTAACGATACAATTCATAACACTAAAGTACTGAACTGTTTCACTCGTACAGAATCACACAGGGTTCACTGAATCCTGAGCAGGTATGATAAAACAGTTCGGCAGTGGTGGCTCTCTATTGGTTACAGAGAAACCCTCAACATTACTCTTACCCTGCTTCATGTACAGTGTACATGTATCAGTTTATATTAAGGCTCTTCCCCCTAGAGGCCAATTGAAAATGTTTTGCTTACCCGAGGTGGTGCTTAGAGCACTTTCTTATTGTGTGTTGTTAACCGCATCCAAGGTAATCACAACAGCCAATCAGAAGAAAGGAAAACACCCTCAAGAACCAATGAAAATTCAAAGTGAAAACAAGCAAATTTCCTAAACATAAGAAAGTGGGTGTGGCTAATTTATAATTGGTTCAAGTTTTGCATCTAATTGGTTGAGTGGCACAAGTTTTCTAGCCCAATTACTAAGGGAAGTTAATCTAAAACCAATATAATCCTTACTTGCATTTGACACTCCATCAAAAATTGAGTAAGGATTATGATGATAACTTGTTTACAAGTTTCCTGTTTTGTTCAATTAGGCAAGGTTAACCCAACCCAATGTGAAGCCATCACCATGGTCGCAGCACAAGTCATTGGCAACCAAACAGCTGTGTCAGTTGGTGGAAGTAATGGTCATTTTGAATTGAACGTCTTCAAGCCAATGATAATCAGAAATGTTCTGCAGTCAACACGGCTTATTGGAGATGCATGTGTAGCCTTTACAGATAACTGCATTGTGGGAATTCAAGCTAATGTGGATAGAATCAACCAGTTGCGTGATGAGTCACTCATGTTAGTGACAGCATTGAACCCTCATATTGGTTATGACAATGCCGCCAAGATTGCAAAGAAAGCTCACAAAGAAGGCACAACTTTGAAGGAAGCTGCTATAAGCCTGGGATTGTTAACAGAAGAACAGTTTGCTCAGTGGGTGAGACCAGAAGACATGTTAGGACCAAAGTGAAAAATATTTAACATTGGTGGGACATGAGTTGAAGCAAAATGAAAAACCTCAAGTTTTCAACTCACATTTTCCAACTTTTACTAGGTTTTAAGACAATTTAACAATTTGTGCAAGTTATCAAGTTTACAACTGAGCTAATTTCAAAGCATTTGCCATGAAACTTCTTTTGGAATCCAGATGCAGTATTGGTAGTCCATTTAATTTAAATACAATACATATAGATGTACATGTACATGTTGTTCTTGAAATTAAATGCCCACTATTCCAGTGCGGTGAAATTACGCAAAGGGGTGATTTTCAAAATTAAAGTACCTGGCTGAGAGTTGCACAAAAAGAACACCTACCAGAAACGTAATGTGGTTAATTAGGTCAAGCTGTGTTGTGGATTTGGGATGTATTTTAAATGTTATTCAGCAATTTGTGAAATACAGCAGCTGTGACTTGGTGGTTAGGCAAGAAAGTAAATTTGCTGTTTCATCAACCAAGTTTTTCATCTGTTTACAAAAACAACATTACAAATTAAAAATACATTTACTTTTCTAGTTCCCTTCTCACTTGTACTTCAGAGTATTTTTATCATTCAACCTTGTTTTTAACTCTTTAACTCCCACGAGTGACCAAGACAGAATTTCTCCTTACAACATCATTACAATATCAACCAGATAAGTGACAAGAATAACAAAAATATCAAATTGGGGATAATCAGTTGATCAAATACTAAATTCTCTGAACTAACACTATAAGAATTGTATTGTTGACAGTAAGGAGAATTATGGAATGGAGGCCTTCATCAGGGTATAAATTCATGGTGGTAGGTCCATAATTATGTGGTATTATTCACAATCAATCCCTCCCCCTACCACATGGATACAATCCAAATGGACTTTTCCACCAATAGCGTAGCTCCATTTTCAGCAAGTAAACACACACACAACCCACAGTTCCTTCAATTGCTCTGACAAAGGGCTAACACTCAAAACATCAGCTTTTCAACTCTTTACAGTGTCCAATTTACCCTTTCAACTCAGTTGATAATACTAAATGACCCTGTTCTACTCTCCCATCAACACAACACCACAGTTTCTTTAGAAGCTTACCCCCTTTATTCATTTGACTTTCTGTTTGCTTAGAATACCATCACACAAATATAACAACTGAGTGCTATGGATTGTACTTTTTATAAAAGATTAGTTTGTTCTTTGAACTGAGTTGGCTCCAAAAGATTACAGTACCATGTCTGTACTCTACTAGGAGCTAAGGTACAAGCATACATTTTGCATTTCAGGATTGCAACACGGGATCATGGGTGCACAAGACCTTCCTGAAAGTGACATTCACATATCAGTGATTTATGTCTCTTCCTCAGCTCACAGGAAAGTTAGTTGTTGGCTTCTATTTTTCTTACCCACCAAGAAATTATCTCTATAAATTTTCTCCCTGCTCTGTTACTGGTTATTACTGGCATCATCTTGAAGCACATTGTATAGCACTCTGATGCTCAAGGTGCAGTTTGAACAACATACAATGTTGTGTCCATTTTCCAAATCACTGTCACTTATCACATACTCTCCACTGCAGCGACACACACTTGAATAACTCTCTGTATCTGAAACAAAGTAAAATCATTTTCACTTGGCAGGTGCACTGCATGCACTGTGTTGCAACTACAATCAGTGGCATTTTTAGAATATTAAATTATGCATCAAATGACTACACCCAATGGGTTATTTACACAAGGTTCAACCCAAACCAAGGTTTTACGCAACCAGTGGGTCTTGGGCTTTAAGAGGGTTAATTTTATTAAATAGATGTCCCTCCATTGTCAGTTTTCAGCCCTCTCGATGCCGTTCATAAAAATAAATTTTCAAATAAAAGGTTCAGCTAAGCTGAGGATTGTCCAGGATGCAGTTTTGTTAATCAACGGCTAGGCTTTGTCTATAAATAAATAATCAGTCCAATGAGATGTAAAATATACAGAATAGGGTACTAAAGACACTTACAAAGAAACACTCCTGTAACAGTATTTTGATCCATTTATTCTGTCTGCCTTTCCCCCACCCCCTCTCTCCTTAAAATTCTACAGCCCTTAAACATTGCCTCATGGTGAAACACTGAAGATCATCCAGAGTAGTAAACTTCCTTCTGGTAATCACTAACATAGCTTTTTTATATCTAAGTGAATGTCTAAGTTTGTTTCAAGTTGTTTCTTTAAATATTACCTTCATGATATTCCATGTCATCCAAATCTACTTCATCACTAACTGGCCAATCTTGTGACAAACCCTGTTCTATAAAATTAATATACTGATCAAATAAGTATAATCCAAATCTAATGCTCAAAATATACTTTGAAAAAAAATGTCCTTTCTTCTGTTAATGAAACAATCTAGGAACTGAATATGAGAGTTTTCTTCCCAGTAATGAACACTTCTTAATCAGTAGTGAAAACAAAGATTGAAAAATTCAGGCCCGTACAGAAATTGAATTCATGACCTCTGCGATACCAGTGCAGTGTCATACCAACTGAGCTAACAAGCCAATTGGGAGCTAGTCATTTTTTTGGTTTGTAATTATCCTAAGGACTGCCAGAATATTGGCAGATTAGGGCAGTCCACCAAGGAGTTTTATAAGACAGGTGTGAACTACTCTACCCTGGGCCCCCTTAATTGGGGGAGGTGAAGGGGAAGAGGGTGTCATAGTATAAGAGGGCTCAGCCACCTTAGGTTATATTTTCTCATGAGAACACACAATTTTTTTTTCTGTTTAAGCTTCAAATTACTATTATTATTATTATATCAGCTATGTTACACATCTTAATGCTTTGAATCCTAATGGCACAATAGGGCGCTAAGCATAGCCTAAAGGCCATGTCATAAATTAACCTAATTTCCTAGTCAATATCTATCCATATATATACAATATTATTATTATTATTATTATTATTATTATTATTATTATTATTATTATTATTTAGCTTTTTTCATGTTTGATTATTGCCGTTCATTCTTCCTTGTTTTATTTTATCTTTATTTATCACACCTTTGAGTTGCCTGTCACAGTCTGCTCTTGTTTCTTGGTTATTAAGGATTTTCCAAGCCTTGTCAATGGCCAGAAACCTCTTGTAGGCTTTGTCACGATCTTCTTGACTTAATGATTCATCCAGTTTATCTGGGTGTACCTTGAAGGACAGGCGTAAGAAGATCAGCTGATCAGACCTTGCTTGGCAAAACAAACCTTGCCAATAATTAACACACACGATTAGTTTCCAAACCTTTAGTACAAGTCTTTGATAAGCTCGTTTAATTTCTTCGTGGCTGGAGTTTTCGGAAACGCCAAGCTCTTGGTAAGGATTACTCAAATCTGTCGAGTTCATTGACTAGTTCTCACGACTATCCGCCATAGTTACACTTCATTTTACGAGAGAGAATGAACACTAATACCTTTCTAATAGAGGATTTGATTGGCTTATTTTACAAAACTTCTAAAATTTGACAAATCAGAAGTGTCTTTGTATGAAGATTGCGTGGTTACCAATGACTGAAATGAAAATGGCGGCGTTACGATTTGTTGGCGTGTGTAGATGCGTAAACCTAGGACGGCGTTTTAAGCCTGTATTGACGACCACTGGTTGTCTGCCTTCAAAGAATGAGGTGCAATAGTTATTATTTATTTAATTCCGCTTAAATTTCATTGGTGACAGACCTGTGTGCGTTATTTTCTGCTCCAAGTTTGACGTTGCCTAGGGTTAGGGATTGTTAGCGAAATTTCATCAACACTGCTGGAAAGGGCTTCCAAAAAAAGAGTAGAGTGGCCAACTTCGTTCGCGTTCTGTCGAAAACTAACGGAGATGTCTTGGTCTACAAATTTATAAAATTATATGTCTGTATGGTGAATTACACAAACGTACCACTGCCATTAAAACACCTGCTCAAATTAAGCGATTATTGCATTGGTATATGTTCGACATATTCTCAGCTGGCAATTTTTTTATGATTCCATGTTGCTCTTGGTAGTACTTCCTGTGGATGTTTGTACTAGCAAGTCCATCTCAAACTTGAAACACCACCATCAATCAGTCGTTGACTTATCTTTGATCTATTACTTGTAACTTCTCAGGTATTAGAATTAACTGGTCAAACTTCACTTGTTGGACTTTTTCACCAACACAGGTATGTAATTTAATGAAGTGGAGGAATTTTGAGGCTGGAATTAACACATTTTTACTCCTTCCACCTGTTCAGAAATTACCTTTGTTTTAGAAAACAAATTAAAGCAGTTTACGCTCTGTACTTGTGAAATGGGAGACAATCAGTCCGGTGGGGCACATGTAAATTGTGTTGAGATCTTCTTGACTGTAGTCTCAGGGCAGCTAAGATTGATGATAAAAAAATTTTTGATTTTTAAGCCAGAATGTAAGTTTGCTTTCTTTGTTATAGGGGAAAAGGATTCTTGGGTAGTGAAAGGATCTGTGGTGAGACTCTCATTCAATTGTAAATGCAGTCATTATATGCATGCAAATTGTAAGGAATACTTTAATTTTTTTTTAAGAAAATGTCATTATCCTCATCGGAAGGCAAGCCATGTAACTTATGACACTAGTCTGGCCCAACGATGTTCATGTGTCATACTTTGATGCCCAAAATGACTGGTGATAACTGTTTTATTCTCTCTCTTAAAGGTCTTGTATTTCCTTGAAAAACACCAGGAGAATTTAACAATGCATCAAAAGTCTTAAAGCCCCATCTGATGCATTCTTTAGTTGTATTACATTATTAATGGACAGATTATCTCAAAAGTCACTACTATCCACTAACTTCTCTCTCAGGGAACAAGCATCTTCATTCCAAGCAGTTTTCAACTGATTCTGGACATGTGAGTATTTCTCTAGGTACAAAATACATGCTCTCTTAGTTACTTTTAGTGGCTGAAAACTCATCTTTGAACATAAATGTTAGGTTGAGTTTCTACCTGCATCACAACACTTTATGATAGTTAAATTATTGTTTTTGTTGTCTCTTTTCAGTACAGTTCAAACCCTAAAAAGAAAACTCTGTACTCACTGATTAACATTAAATACAAGGGAAGTGATGAAGCTGTGTTAAGGAGTTACACTAAGTTTATGACAATGGCTGCAGAACATCTAGACATTGATATCTCTAACAGGTACATACTGCACAGAACAGGTACATACTGTACATAACAGATATTATGTAAGGTAATAAATGTCACAAATATTATGTAGGGCTGTTACAAAGACTTTGCCAATTTCAGATGCCTTAAATTACATACTTATTGCAAAATATCACATTTTCAATGCTCGACTTAATGATCACACCCCAAGTCATGAAAAAAATGGCTATCAATTCACAAGTCACAAAGACTTTGTGACTCACTTTGGCCGTAAAATTAGCTAAGAAGTTGGCCACAAAACTAGAAACATACAGAGGTGCCAAATCATGAAAATTTAAAATCTGGAAATATATATATATATATATATATATATACATACATACATATATTGTTTTATCAGATCTGGGAGCAAAGAGTTGAAGGCTTCATCAAAATTTATTCTAATGCAGCTGTACTGTCGTGTAAATGTTCATCAGCATGGACAATAACGCTTGTGTATACGTTAACCAAAAAACTTGAATAAAACATGCCCAAAATCGCATGCAATTGCAAATGAAAACAATCATGGAAATCAAAAAATTACACGTTCGCGCATAAGCTTGATACATCTACCTCATAAGTATTACAAGGTAGTCCTTTTTTTCTATTGTTGGCGGTTTATCATTCTTAAGATAAGCAGAATAAGTAGTCACTTAGGTGTAGAGGAAGAGTCCAGTCTGTCTTTCTCTTTGCTTTGCTGGCTAGTTAAATAATTTTGGGCAAAATTTGCATTTCAATTTGCAGAATTTTACTACCAATAGCAATTGAAAGGCACACACTTTTGAAATCACCACACATTAACAAGAAGCACAGAGCACAGTATGAGGTTCGGACACATGGGCGCATGTTACAGGTTTGCATTACTTCATTATCAACAAATGGTATTGTTAGTATGTTGTCTTTATCCTGTCACATTCTCTTTCTCTGTCCCTCTGTGTATTCTGATTATTTTAGTTTGTAGGTGTAGTGGAAAGTTGGTTCTAGTTTTCTTGCTGCCCTGAACACCTTTTTTTTTCTGTTAGCCTTCTCCACACTTGCTTTTAATGATTTGCTAGTGTTATCACACAACATCAAATATGGGGAAAATTGTGTGACAAGGAAATGGTACTTGTGTTGAGGACCCGATGCAAAGCAGTTGTGATTGTTTTACTGTTGGTCTACAGGTTAGGAATGTAACCCAAGAAACAGCAGATGTATTCCTTGAGTACATTCAACGTAACATACCAGAGGGAGTCAGTATGAAAGTAGAGCAAACAGAGCTGGAATCAATCTCAGACTACTTTGAGCTGCCTCCTGAAGCACAAGAATTCCTCAAACAACAGGAAAGCAATCAAAGGAAGACATAATAATTTTACTTCTGATCACACCTCATACTGAGAGCGATCAACTTTTGTTGAATATTGTGTATAGTTGTGAAGGAAATCAGTTTAGAATATAACAGTAAATTAAAGAGCTGGGTGTCACATATAACTAGCACTTTCTTATAAAATATTTCTACCATTAGTAGGAAGGTTGAAATACTTGTGGCATTACTGTGATGTACTACAACCAAAGATACTGTGGACATTAAAATCAAAATGATATTTAGAGTTGAAGACTGAGAAATGTTGCAATTTTATTTTGATTTCCAAATACAATATGGAGTATATCTTTTGAGTACCTCATATTAAAGGCAAGATTTCAAAAATTGCAATGCAATCATTTTAGTTAGCTATTATGATGGGGCCAAAAATTACTGCGTGACTTCATCAAAAACAAGCCCTCGGCAGATCTCAAACCCCAAGGCTATTCAATCTGGAGTCCCTAAGGCACTCATCCTTACACCAATTCATCTTCCATAACCATGTGTTCACACCTTCTGAAAACTGTACCTGATTTACTCATAGAGTTGAGATGGAATTAAAAAAACAAACAAAGCTAACAATGAACAATAGTAAAATTTAGTGAGTTTCTATTTGAATAAAGTAATAACTTTTTATTTGTCAATAGCTAGACAAGATTTGCCAAAAATTACATTTTGGTGAAAAGAAGTTGAGATATTGTGGTTTTAACAAGGAAAACAAGGACAATAGAAAAGATAATAATTTAATAAGATAATTAAAACAAAAGCCAAAAGGAGGAGGGGTGAGGTAAATGTGCTATGGGAAGGGGGGAACAACCCCTTGCCCCCTACCATTTTCCTATTCAGTTTATGCCTGCTATGCAGGGTGAAAAAAATATTAGTATTTGTGCTACTGAAATTCAGGAGATGAGGTTTTAGCCAGGAACATCTTTTTCTGGTGCTGTTATGTTATCACAACTTGTGGTATGGCATCTCAGCTCTCCATAGCTCTTCTAACACACTGTCTTCACTTGGAAAGCGAGTTGTGAATGACTTGATCATCCCAGCAGGGCTTGCTTCAAATTCTGTTAAACTAACATCATTGTCTCCTAAAGAGATAAATTGATAAATTTTGTTGGGTTTTTTTTTCTCATTTTTGGGTTGCATTTCTATACTTGATTCATATACTTCCTAGAAACTACTGCAGTGACACAATAACATTGTGTCTTTTGGGAGATTTCTTTTTGTCATTATTTTGACATTTCTCTAGGACACACAAAAAAATGGACTGAATACTTCAAAGAAACCTTAATAAGTAACTCTGAGTATGAGTACCACTTGAGAATTTGGTAGAGTGACTCTGAGTGCACCTGCATAAATAAGCTTTCACCTCCTTGTACCCCTTTGATTATTTTTGTAAGGAAAAGAAAAGTCCTTCAAGGCATAACACTTGGTGTAACCGACTGAGCACATTTCTATCATAAGCCCATTGTTATTATAAGCTCCTCTCTACAAATACTATCAAGCCTACCTGTAATGCTTGTATGGCATTGAACAAACATCCTTCGTGGAGTCTTGCGAGCAAGAACTGTCTGACGCAGTGCTAAATATTCCTCATCTACGGCTGAGTATTGATCATACAAAGCTTTGCCAGCATCATAATCTGCTGTTGACTTGTACACCTATGAGGAGAAAGAATTTGATCAAAAGAAGATAAAAGCAGAGACCAATACAGTAGAGTTTCATCTTTCTATGGGTAAAATGAGATTTTATATCAGAGATGATGATAAGATGACAACAAATTGACCAAGCCTGGGTCTCCACTTAAGACTTATCAACCCAAATTCTAGCCCCCTGGTCATAGGGTAACCACCACATCTCCCATTAAGCATTCTACAGTGTCTCCTTTGAAATAA